TGGGGGCTGTCCTTTGTCTTGCTGCGATCAGCCTGGGGGTTGTCCTCTTTTGCACACCGACGAGGCTTGATTGTTTAAGCAAGAGATAGTTTGCTTGTCTGGAACCACTTTCACAACCTTCTTAAACTCCGGTTTTGTATAGTTGGCTGGTTAGCTGGCTGAGTGGCTGGCTCTATGGCTTAAGTGGCCAGTTAGCTGGCTTGAATTTTCCACCCAACACTCGGCTCATCTCGGCTCGGCTCGAGTCGTAGTAACTTTCAGTCTGTTGTAGAGCTGAGTATTAAATTGCTGTGTTTGCATTTTTTTTAAATGTCCTTTACCCTTGTTTTTCTGTGTATATGTTCTGCAAGTGTTTCTAACCACTATCCACTTATTTTTCTTGTAAATGCTTGTTTCTTGATGATTCACTTAAAGTGCCACTTAAGTCACTAGAATTGCTTGTTTTGTTTGTTTCTGAGTGTCTGATTGGTTATCGTGACCGTCTCACCGTTTGCTACCAGTGTCTTAGTCAGTTTTATATATGTCACACGCATATATATATATATAATAGTTTTGGAACTCTTAAGTGGCAGGGTTGACGTAAACACTTGTTTTGGGCTTTGATTATTTCTAAAGCGTCTATATAAATAGGTACTTAGTTTGGGAGAGAATTTATTGTGAATTCTCTTCGGGGAAAGTGTTTTGAGTACACTTTTATAGGAAAACTTAAGTGAGGTGTTCCCCCGAGTGGTAAGAATTTACCTCTGTGACCGTGAGGCCTCGATCGTCAATATTTATAAGAACAAGGGAGGTCGATCATACCGTGGTCAACTACCGCAGGATCTCATTGCTGTCCATAGCTGGCAAGGTTATTGCTCGAGTCCTCCTAAACAGACTTCTTCCTAAGGTGGAAAACTTTCTCCCAGAATCTCAAAGTGGCTTTAGACTATCACAAGGCACCAATGATAAGATCTTTGCTGCCTGCCATATGCAAGAAAAGTGCAGAGAAAAGTATCGTGTTTTGTACATGGGTACATGACCTTCATTGACCTTATTAACGCCTTTGACTCGGTCAACAAGGAAGCCTTCTCGCGGACTGTCAATCGTTTTCGCTGTCCACCAAAATTCATTGCCATGATGAGGCAACTCCACAATGACGTGAACGGCAGTGTCCTGCCACCCAGTCTGAGTTCTTCCACATTCAAACAGAGGTAAAACAAGGATGTGCACTGGCACCAAATCTCTTTTCCATTTTCTTGGCTGTCTTCCTTTCTCGTGCCAGTGCCAATTTTGGCGGGGTGGACATCCAGTACCGGATGAAAGGATTTTTCAACATAAGACGACTCTATGCAGGAACAAAGGTGTCGGCCGCTTCCATCACTGAAATTTAGTATGCAGACGACCTCACATTCATTGCTCACAGTGAACGCGACCTATAGGAGAGCCTGAACACCTACGCAGTAGTGTGTGCACACTTCGGCTTTGAAGTAAATGCACATAAGACTCAGATTCTCTTTCAGTCAACCCCTATGTCATGATCGTAATGACGGCTAGCCTGAAAACCCCAAGGATTTATATTACGCTTAAAGGTCCACAAAACCTTCTGAGTCCCCCAGTGGAAAAGTCCTCCGTTTTCTCTGTTTCTCTGATGACGTCATCGAGATGTCATCTTTGTCTGAAGGGAACCTTTTGAATCTGCTCCTGGGGTTTGTATCAAGGCACTGTATGTTGGGACCTGTTGCCATCCAACCTTTTGTAATCAATTTAATTCTTGCTTTTGATAGCTCAGTCAGAGCATTGTTTGTGAAGATAATAGTAAGGAATGAAACTGAGTTCGTAGTCTCAGTTTCAAACGTCAGAGTGTACAGTAAAGTAATTCAGCGAAATAGTTAAGTAGGTGGAATCCACGACCTAGTTTCAGTGGGAGTGCGCCAGGCATTTCAAAGGTTAGTAAGTGACTCGTCCCTCACCCAACCAGGTAGGTCATTCCACTCCGTGTTGTAATTCGCCATTCTTTAAGTGATTTGACCTAATTAATAGTTGATTTGCAAGTGTTATTGTAACGTAGTTGATGTGCTTTGAGTGAAGTGATGTTTACGTCCTTAACGTCCCTTTGAAACGTTATGTCGTTATCACCAGTTAGTAATTGCTTCGTTCCTCACCCACGCAGATCCCTAACGCAGCCTAGGCCGTGTCTGTAGCGTTGATGTTGCATCCACTAGTCTGGAAAGATGTCTGAGGTCCAGTAGGATCAGTTATCTCCATGAGTACCGACCATCAGAAGCTCGAGTATTACCTATGGGCCCCATAGCTGGCCAGTCTGACCCTAACGCTCGGCCTACGAGGTGACCCCGGATCACCAAGCCACAAACAACTACCAGCCTCCATCATTGGTGGATGAGTGCCTAGCTCAGTAGGGCTATTTGTGTGGTTGTGTTATTCCACTGGGATCTTCAGAGTTCGTTGGAAGGTGCCCCTTGGTGACGAGACCCCATGGCGGTCGCTTGAGTATCACTCCTGGGGATTGAGTGCTGTATTGGCAGTTGCCCCTGGTTTTAATGGTGCTAAAGTGTTGTAAGAGTTTGTGTGTTATTGTATATGTCCACCCAGTTGTGGTGTGAGTATTTTGAGCCTGAGGGCATGGTACCAGGAGTTCGTCTTTTGGTACATATAACTTTCTCCTGCATCCATTTTAATATCTGAATAAATATTGTATTTGTATGTTGTGTTTATTATTCACCTACGGTCCTACAGTATCCACCGTTGTTTCTTCCCTATTGCTTGATACTATAATTACACCTACCCATGGGCCTACCTCTCACGTCGCGCTACCAAAGGTTGAAGTATTAAAGTAAAAGTTGTTATAAGAGGCGCAGGCCCTTATACCTTTTTCAACCACACCTCCACCATTCATCTAGCTTAACGGTACTACTCTCTCTAATGTTACTAACTTTCTGTACCTTGGCTCCCACCTGTCCACCACCGCGGACGTTGATAACGTGATTCAATATCGGATGAGATGTGCATCTCTGGCCTTTGGCAGACTCTGTACCCGTGTCTTCAACTGTAGGAAGCTGAAATTATCTGCAAAGTTGCAAGTGTATCTAGCAGTGGTCCTTCCCTCCCTGCTGTCCGACAGCGTGACGCGGGTCACATACAGGAGACACCTCAAGGCACTTGAAAACTTTCTCCATCGTAGTCTAAGTTCCATCCTCCGAGTTCGCTGGGAAGACAAGAGAACAAATGCCAGTATGTTACGCTGGTTAATTCCCCAGTTAACCAGGTTGGTACACATATAATATATATTGGGCTTTTAGTAACGAAACCCAATTGAAGTTGCTTGTTTTATTATAAAAGTATTCTGTTTATAATTCCTGAGTTTATATCAACCGTAAGTTCCACTATTTATGAGTGAATGAGAAAGGACGGCGTTTATGTAATATAAACGTAGATCAACGTCCGTTCGATATTATTTGGTGTGAGTGACTGGCTAAGAGCGTCGCACTGGTGCGCGCTTACATAGATGCTGACATATGGGCTTCTCCCTCTTGGGAAAGTTACCCTTCACGTGATCAGTTCATGTCTTACTCATAGGTAGTGGAAAAGTACAGGGGTTTAATCTGAATATATATCAGATGTGAATAACCCATTTATATAACACTGCCCTGCATAGTTTTTGAGGTTTGTGTATTATTAAGCTTTTCTGGGTGTATTTTGCATGCTGATCTCAAAAATGTTATCCATTTTGCTCAATCAGGTCAGAATTTTGTGCTATAGCATTTTAAGCGGAGATTCAGGTAAAATATTGGCATTTTTCGCTCAAAATGGGGTCCTCATATTCGTTCATTAAAAAAATCATCCGAGACATTGGCAAGCCTCACAAAAAAGATTTCGGTCAGTTTTAATGCCCTTACGATGCATTTAAATACACCCACGTGCTCGCCGGCCATTTAAATGTCCACTGTGACGCAAAGGAAAAGAGTATATTTCCGTGTTTTTTTACATATATTTTTTTCACAATTAAATTTCTTTTTCATCTGGTGGTACATGGCATGTACTAGCAATCACCCAGATGTGCCTCTAAAGTCTAGACCCTCAGTCAGTGTCTCTCGAGACTTCAAAAAAGTGGGAGTGTGTGCGTCTCTCTCTCTCTCTCTCTCTCTCTCTCTCTCTCTCTCTTACACACACACACACACGCATATTTCTAATCATATACACACCTGTTTTTTCTTCTTACAGAGTTGTACATTTAATCATGAATCGGAAGTGCAAGAACGACCCGAACAGGTTTTGCTATGTGTGCCGTTGTGTAACAATGACAGACCGACAGTGCACCATTACTCCCCTAGTGAAAAACTTATATCATGCATACTTTGGAATGAAACTTGGAGACCAAGATAAAGCTTTTGCCCCTCACATGTGCTGCAAAACATGTGTTGAAAATTTGCGGCGCTGGAGCAACAAGAAGATTCAACGTCTACCATTTGGCATTCCTATGGTATGGAGGGAAGGTAGAGATCATACCACGGACTGTTACTTCTGCATGACAAACCTTCAGGGTGAGTTATAATAATACATCAATACTAATATATCAAATGCAGTATGTTCATGCATTCTTAAATATATCTGTAAGTTAATATGTTATGCTATCTTGATACTAAATCTTTCGTTCACATTTCAGGTATAAACAGGAAGAACAAACATCATGTTAAGTATCCAGATGTACCCTCAGCCATCAAACCAGTTCCTCACGGACCAGGAATACCAATTCCAACTCCACCAGAAAACTATAGGGACATGATACTCGATGACGATCATGATATCGATGAAGACATAGAAGAGACTGACGCTTCTAGTACATACTTGCCCACAGCTTCTGCAAAAGAGCCCATACCCTTCAGTCAAGCTGAGTTGGATGATTTAACAAGAGACTTGTGCTTGTCTAAGGAGTCAGCTCAACTACTAGGATCACGGCTTTGCGAACACAATGTCTTAGCACCAGGAACAACATTTGCCTGGTACCGTAACCGTGACAAGGAATTTCGCAAGTTCTTCAGTTTTGACAAGGAAACTTCATTGGTGTATTGCAACAATATCGGTGGACTCATTGCAGCTATGGGAATATCATACAATATATCAGAGTGGCGGCTCTTCATTGACTCATCAAAAAGAAGCTTGAAAGCTAAGTTGTTGTTCAATAGAAACCAGGTCGCGTCTGTTCCGGTGGGGCATTCAGTGCAGATGGATGAGAACTACAACAACATGGAGTATCTGTTAACTGCTCTGAAGTATAAAGACCACAATTGGAAGATCTGTGGAGACTTGAAGGTAATTTGATACACCAAAAACAGTTGCTTTCAAAAATTGATATTTTGTTGACAGTTTTTCTAATAGGTAATTATGTCTGCCGACATACTGTCATATTATGAAGTGTTAATATTTTTTAATAATAAAACTATTCAGCTGAACATATTTTTAATCTGTTTTTTCCACAGGTTGTGTCCATGGTGCTGGGCCTACAAGGTGGTTACACCAAGTTTCCATGTTTACTCTGTCTGTGGGATAGTCGAGCAGACAAGCAGCACTACATGCAACGTGACTGGCCTGCAAGAAGTGGACTTACTCCAGGTTCTCACAATGTTGTTGCCCATGCTCTGGTGAATCCGCAGAACATTCTTCTTCCGCCACTGCACATCAAGCTCGGTCTGTTCAAAAACTTTGTAAAGGCACTGGACAAAAAAAGCCAGGCTTTCAATTTTCTGAAAGAAAAATTTCCAAAAGTCAGTGAGGCAAAGCTGAATGCAGGAATTTTTGATGGCCCTCAGATCAGAGAGCTTTTCAAAGATCCCAAGTTTGATTGCAGCATGGATGTAAATGAGAAGAAAGCCTGGCATGCCTTTAAGTCTATTGTCTCCAATTTTCTTGGCAACTACAGAAGTCCAGAGTATGGACGAGTTGTTGAGGACCTACTTCTGAGCTACAAAGTTCTTGGTGCACGCATGTCCACCAAGATGCACTTCCTCAGCTCCCACTTGGACTACTTTCCAGAGAACTGTGGTGATGTGAGTGAGGAACAAGGAGAACGCTTCCATCAAGATATCCGTGTAATGGAGGAGCGGTACCAGGGTCGCTGGGATATCAACATGCTCGCCGACTACTGTTGGTGTCTGAAACGGGACGCCCCAGACACCAACCACCAAAGAAATTCTCTGCGACAGCCATTTATGCATGTCTAACTGTAAAGGCATCTATGTAGTTGACATATTTTGGTCCTATGTGTTGTGGTTACATTTCTTATGATATATTTTGCATAAAAATTTTGACATCATATTTAAGAATTTCGATTTTTTCCTAATTCCCACAGCATAAAAATCTGACCTGATTGGGCAAAATGAATGGCATTTTTTGGAATCAGCACGCAAAATACATAAAGAATCAGCTAAGAAACCCCGCACCTCATGAATTTTTTTTTTCAAATGCAGCCCAGTGTAATACTTCTGTTGATGAGACAGGGGCCATTACATCGCTCGGTCACCTACCAGCCGAGCTCTGTGAGGCCTAAATAAGCTCACAGAGTGCAGTACATCCTATACAACCCTAACCATGTTATAATCAAAGGTGTAGACACTAAGCTGGGGATTCTACTACTGTAGGGGTATTAGCTACTACAGGGGACCTATACTTTAGTGTCTTACGGGTTAAAATGTTATGAACAACGTTCATCTTGGATTACACTGACTTATCATAACAGAAAAGAAACATGATTGCCAAAATTAACATAATTCTGGGAAATGCGAGACTTGGTATTGCAAATTCCCATGATAAATAAAATGGCAAATTATTACTCAAATCAGCAAATTTTGTCTCTTTAAAGAATGCAATGACCTTTAATTTCTCTGAAACAATTTGAATGTCCTTTACAGTGAAATTCATGACAGGAAGTGGAATTAAGGCAGACTTGAGTTTTATATTTAAGGCAAAGTGCTGATGAGTAGGCAAGGTTCGTAATGAACCACAAGTGATTTTACAATAATCCAGAGTCTTGTAATGACCTTTAACAACTAGCTGCTTAACACCATCATGGCATTTTAAAATAACAGTAGTTGTATTTGGAAAGAATAAGTACTGCACATTGTGGAGATGAGTGTGAAACACAGTTTTGACACTAACTGGCCTATAGCTGCATTGCGCAAGTGCTGTGCGTACATTGGTTTGCATGACTGCCAATTCACATATTCCCTCTGTAGCAGGAATAAACGCGAACATATAGGCTGGACATACGTATAGGTGTAGATATGACGACTTACACTGTGACAGACCTCAGGATCCTCTAATGCCAATAAAGAATAATCTTCATCTATCAGGAAAAGTTCTGTAGGCCTATCCAGAGTATACAGAGTGTCGTTAACAAACCAGGGGAAGGGTTCTAAATGCCATGCATTAAACTGATGTTGCCCACGCATAGGCATGTGGATGAGAATAGCATTGTGCCTGAGAGTCGACTCCAACAGCGGGTAATAATATTCTACCTCATTGTCATTAAAAATAGGAGTTAAGTTATACTGCAACTTGGCTATCTGTAAAGCGTCAAGAAGCGTCTGCACAGGTACAAGCTTTGCGTCCACACGTCCTATCTCTGCATGTACTATGCTGTCAATTAGTTCATTTTTACAGGTAACAATCTTTTGAACTGAAATTTCCGCAGCAAGCAAATATTCCGTGAAATAAAGGAGCCCTCTAACGTCGGGATTGACTTCTGTAACCTACTAACAATCCTCAATACTTGGTTAGACTCCGATATTATTGCATTAACTTTTGACTCTAAAGCAGTAATCACATGAAATGTTTGAGAAATAACACGATTCTGCTGAGATACTGTACAGCTTCATCGACAATGTTCATTCGGTCCCCCAATTTAGCTACATCATCGGCCGTTGCCGTGCCAAACAAATTGCTTTGGATAAGACCCACAAAATTAAATAAACCCCTTTTTCGTCGTGTCTGAGAACGCACTTCTTTTGCAAGATCCACTTCAGACGCTGGTAATTTCTCTCCAACATCGACGAGAAGCTTGCGATGGTTCTTGAGACGAAAGTGTAGAAGGTCAATAGTTTGTGAAATCATCGTGGATTCATTAGTAGCTGCACTGAGACCATGAAAGATGTCCAATGCTGATTGTAGTTGGGCGTCGCCGTTTTCCATCTGACGGGGAACCTGGAGCAGTCCATGCAACTCATATACTTGTAAGTATCCTCGCTGACCACCAACTGTAGGAGCATCAAGGCTACCATAATCCATTAATAACCGAGTTAGACTAGCTATGTTACTCACATAGACGACAGTAGACTGCCAAAGCAGCTACTTTACAGTCATCTAACGAATGGTAAACGTAGCACTGGCTGACAGCGGAAAAGGTATAAGGATAGTGTTAATACAAATCCGAAAAAAGTGCCAAATTTACACCCTTACTTGGTAGATAATCACTCCAGAGTAACGCATGGAGATGCGCCACACGAGAAGGTGTCAATACTTTGTAGTAACCAGACGGCTTACTGAGGCAAAAAAGCGCCAACGTCAGAAAGACCCTGTCGCCACCCCTCTGTATCTGTGGACGGCCCTGCCAGTTCCGTATTGGCCTATCGTGTCACCTCAGAGCTCACCAACGAAGGTGACAACCTTAATAACTCATATCATTGTTTCATAGCTGGATGATCGTCATAGTCGATTATGAGTGACAACAAAGTAGTAACAGTAGTAATACTACAAATACTACTAATACTACTATTACTACTACTACTACTAATAATAATAATAATAATGTTAATAACAATAATAATAATAATAATAATAATAATAATAATAATAATAATAATAATAATAATAATAATAATAATAATAATAATAATAATAATAATAATAAAAATAATAATTAACGGTTTATGGAAAGAGCATGGCAGCCGGAAGGCTGAAAATATACAGTTACATAATTGGGGAATGGGTCACTTGATTGACAAATATTATACAAGTAACATAAGTGATACAAATATGATATATAATGATTAAGTGGGGCGAAAGTTATACTACAGTGCATTTCAACATAGTGACAGTGCAAAAAGGTAAGAGTGGCTGGGAGTGGTTACACTGTAGTTAACGAGTTGCTCATAATTTTTACAATGGTTGGGACTGGGAGATCAGTACGTGCTGGCATGGGCTGGATGAGGTTGTGGTGTCGAACAGTAATTCGCGGACAAGAGGTCTCGGGTGGAAGTAGCAGCCGGTATTGAGGATGGTGCAGAAGCTTCTCACCAAATTTGCAGATGAGGTCGTGGTGATGATCAGAGAGAGCCGAGAGTGTCAGTGGGTTGAGCACTTCTTGATATGTGGAGTAGGAGGGGGAATGAATAATCTTGCATGCTCTCTTTTGCATTTTCTGTAGGTGTTTCCGTTGTGTGGCAATTAGGGAGGAAGACCATGTAGGTGAGCTTGGGAAGTATTGTCATGGTCATGTTGACTGCTAGTCTGTTAAATTAATGATTCTTATTAAACTCCACGACCGCAAAACATGAATGGGTTAGCAACCCTTGAGAAGAAGAAGTGTTTTTCCCCATAGACGCTACACTTGTTTCCCCTCCCAAAGTCCCGCCTTTGTGAAGACGGTTATCAATGCCTTGTGTATTCCACTTTCTCCTGGGAAGCTCAATCTTGAATTAGTCTGTGTAAATCAACTCAAGTAATTCGCCAGACCTTTGTCAACTGAGGGTCATCTTTGAATGAGTAACAGTTAGAGTTTTTTGTAATTATTGTCATTGCGTGAGTAGCGATCACTGGCAACTCAGGGGATATATATACCAAGGGATGAGGCAGGGCGAGCGTCCCCTGACGCTCTCCAACGTTTCTCCAGGTATGTATATGTGTAGCCATTCAGTTTGATTCAGTCAATTGTAGTGAATATCAGTGTTCATCAGTGTTCATGCTCTAACAGTTGAATTGTCATTCACCCAGTGTAAGAGTAATATAACGTAAATATGTCTGTCGTTCCTAGACAAGAGATTTGTTTGTGTTGTCATGCTTCCGTCCCCTGACGCTCTCCAACGCTTCTCCAGATCCAATTGTGACTCTTGGATCACTCGACAACTGCCCCGGATGCAATAGATACCCAGCAGGGACCATATATGAAACGATGGCACCGATGCTGCCTGATTTATATGCTCCACTGCCTCGTGGTGCCAGACCCCAGACTCGCCATTTGTCTGGCTACCACCGACCATAACAACAGTCGTGAATCTCAGTGTTCTACCCTGGGATGCACCCTGGAAGTATATGTCAACAGAGGGTGTTGTAATATGTATGTTAGGGATAATTAATTGGAAATAATTATCCCATGATGGGTAGTGGACCCATGTATCGGCTGGTTTCAGTATTAATGTGTATGTTGAGTAAAGTCTTGCATCTGTACTGTAATGCCACGTACCACCAGTAGGTGTGAGACGTACAGGAATCTACAATGAGTGCCATGTACTATATATTGTGAGTAGGGCCAAGGAACTGGTCCTGCTATGTAATGTAATGTAACACCAGTAAGGTTGTGTGCAGCAAGAGTGTAAGATCTGAGTAATTACTGATGAGTAAAGAAAATAAGTAAATAAGAAAATAAGTAAAGAAGAAAGTACTGAGTCTGCCATAAGCCCAGGAGTTGAGCCTGGTAGTTATATGCTAATAATATATCTTTTTCCCTTTGATTTCTTATTAATAAACTTGTTCTTAGAGTATTTTAGGTGTATTCATTTCTCCCACAGTATTTTACCTTTCTTTCTGTTCAAGTGACTTGATACCAGAATTACCTTACACATGTGCCTAGACCCTCGACCATGCTACCAAAAGAATGTCCATGCTACCAAAAGACCTGAGTAAGAGTCAGAACTAAGACAAGAGAAGTAAGTAAGATAAGGGTGGTGTAGGTGTTGGAAAACACGCGCCCTTACGGTATGAATGTTGAGTAAACACTGAGGAGGTCGGGCGCAGGAACTCCGAGAGACTTGAGTTGGCTGAGGAGATGGAGATGAAAACTGGAGGATTTAACAACTGTACTGAAGTGTGTTTTCCAATTTAATTTGTTATCTATAGTTAAACCGAGGAGCTTAGTGGGGTCCACAACCTGGAGTGTGTTGGGGATCATAGTCATGGTCTTGGTATGGTTGATGGTGACGTGGTTGTTGGTGGACCAGTTTTGGAGACTGGTCAATAAATCCAGGAGGGCGGTGTAGTCGGGATTCAAGTTGTTGACACTGACCTCAATGGTGGAGTCTCTTAGGGCATCATTGATAAGCCTTGGGGGACGCCACAGTTGACTAAAAAGTGAAGACAGCCCCTCGGAAGCATACGGCTTGGCGTCGGTCACTAAGGAAGTCTATAAGCCATGGTATAGGACTTCTTCGAAGCCCGAGGTCGATATCTTTGTTGATGATTAAATTGTAGTCGACTAGATCAAATGCTTTGGTGAAGTCAATGAAGGCGACAGCCAAATACGTCTTTCGTTTTTCAAAATGGCGGTATATATAGTCGAAAAAGCTGACAAGATAGCGAGTGGTGGAGTAAGTTTTAATATTGCCACATTGCTGAGTATCTATGGCGCCTGCAATATCAGCATAAGCCCAGTCAAACACGAAACTTTCGCAGATTAAGCTGGGTATTAGGGTGATGGGAATGGGTCGCAGCTCATTTAAGGATTGTGGGCTCGTTGGCTTGGGCACTGGTGACATATACGAGGTCTTCCAGTCAGCTGGGCATATTGCTTGGCTGAAGGAAGCATTGATGATGGAGCAGAGGGGTTTAGCTAGTTACGGGGAGAACTCCTTGTAGAGTTTCATTGGTAAGTCAACGGGGGTGTCCAGACGTTTTGCTACTTCAAATTCTTTCATTAAGACAGTGGGAAAGGGGTCTGGGAGGTAAGCAAGGAGACTGGTTGTGTCAAGCCCGGGAAGCGTCTGGCATATAGGTGCGAAATAATTTTTTGAGGTGTGTCTTATTGTTTAGTCCACAAATTAAGTCCACCATACCACTGACTGGTGTAAGTCTGCTTCGGGTGTTACAACTTGTTTAGGTTTTTGGACTTCTTTGGAGTGCGTGTTTCGTGGTAGATGATTTGGTTGCGAAGGGACCTGTAGACGTAGGGTCACTGCACTTTGCTGGAGACCAGAACACTGATAGGTATGTGCTACACCCGATAGGAGGCATTGGTTGAGGTTGTTGGTACTGATCCACTAAGTCAGTTAAGATAAAGTCAAGGGTATTTTGACCGTGTGTGGGGAAGTTCACAACTTGTGATAGTAGCAGCTGGTCCTGGATATCAGTGGTGTCAGTTTTGTTATAATCCCCTTAATGCTTTCCTATTTATTCTACTTTTATTCTTTATGAAAAGTAAGGCTGAAGAATCTTATTTAGGTGTAAAAATGGGGTGAACATGTTTTGTGTGTTGTAGGAAATGTTTATGAAGTAGTGTTTTTTCTCGATGCTATGGAGTTGAGGTACGAAGGTCAAGTTCTTACACATCTCTTTCTGCTAACCAGTCGAAGATAAATAGGTTAGAGTTCTGCCCTCTACACCCAGTAATCCGTATAGTCCATCGGTGAGAGGGGCCAACCTCAAAGTGTTTGATATAGTTTTTTTTCCTCTCTTTTGATTATTTTTCTATAGGGTCTCAGTGAACAGTTCCAGGTGGGTGTGGAATTCTCACCCGTGGGCAATTTTAATTACACCATATTTAAAATGTGCACTATTAGAATATGTGTAAAAAATGTTTTTTTGATACATATGAAGATCCATACAGCCGCAAGTCCCATAC